TATAATTTTAATCTCTCTAATTTTATCTTACTTTTTATTTTATAAATATAATTTAGATTATTTATTTTATAATTAAATTAATTTTTTAAATTTTTTTATAAATTTATATAGAAAAATATATTAAAACTCTTGCATATTTGAGAGTATCATAGTAATTCTTTTATATATATCTTCTGTTTTTTCTATCCCACCGTCAAATGCCACGTAATTAATGTCAACGGGAATGGGACCACCACGACGCGGTGTCAGCTCAGCGCAGTCCAGCCTCACGTATGCCTCAAAGAGTTCTAAATTTTGTAAATACTCCCAAAATATATTTCTATTCATTATTTATATGTTTTTTTTTTTCTACATGAAATTCTTTTATAATGTGTATCTCAACAGTGATGTTTCGTATAAGAATCTCTTGTTATTAACTTCATACTTTATAGTCTTGTATTGTCATCTCTATCTACAAATTTTCTCATTTAAAAAACGTTCATATTCGAAAGGTCAAACTTATTAATTAAGCTGGAATAGATGCTTACATGTTTAATTAGATAAAGACATAAGCATATATAAATTCTTACATGGATTAATTATTTTATTACCTATCATAAAAGCAATTAATCATGATCTACTTTGGAAGATTGAGACTTCCCCACAGACCACGTTGTTGCATCTATATAAACACCTTCAACCCCTCCAATCCCATCCAAAATTTAAGTAGCACTAGCTACTTGTCTTGTTTTAGACAATAAAAAATTAATCCATCGAGAAGATGAAGAAGAGATCAGCCACCACCAACAATGATTCCTCTAAACTTGATCGCAAAACCATCGAAAGGAACCGCAGAATTCAAATGAAATCTCTCTGCCTTCAACTCGCTTCTCTTGTTCCTCCCAACCATAAACCATCCAAGTCCAAGGTACACATTATAATTTGAAACAAATATTTGTTTAAAAAGAGTTAGTTAACATTTCCTAAGGACTATATAGAACTTTGCCTCATCTTAATCAAAAAATCTCCTTTCTTTGTCCACCACTATATGCAAGATCTTATAATCGATATTTTTTTGTCGCTATAATTCTGGGTAAAAAGAAAAACTAGAAAAATAATTAACTAACTAGTTGAATGTTTTCAGTTGATGGTAGGGCAGCATGATCAGCTGGATCTTGCAGCGAGGTATATAAAACACATGAGAGAGAGAATAGAGAAACTGAAGAGGCAGAAGGAGCAAGCTATGTCAACAAAGCAAAGCAATGATCGGAGAACGTTGAATAATAACGTTGATTACAAATTGCCGGTACTAGAGCTAAGAGACTTGGGTTCGGGGATCGAAGTGGTGTTGGTGAGTGGTTTGAACAAGACATTCATGTTATACGAAGTTATTAGAGTTCTTGAGGAAGAAGGCGCTGAAGTTGTCACTGCAAGCTTCTCAACTGTCGGCAACAAAATCTTTTACTTTGTTCATGCTCAGGTACAATTATACGTGTATTTTTTTTTAAAATTAATATATGTGTGTATTTAACGTCACATAATGACCTTATGACCCAGGTTATGCCATTTTTCTTAAGTTGTCATGACTTTAGATATCAGCATTAGTTTTAACCATTCATAATTAAATTTGGCCATTCAGGTTTATGCTCATACAAAATTCGTTCAAACTGTCGTTTCATATTAAAAAGAAAAAATCATGACTTTGTATGTATTAATTTTAACATTCATGATAACATTTAGTGATTCAGATTCACTCTCTCTAAATATAAAGTCATCTAACCGTCGTTTTCATAAATATGCATATTGAGTTCCATAGTCTAAATCATATGCAAAGATTTTTTTTTTCTTTCTTCAGTGCAACAATATAAGAACTATCATTAATTACAACTATAACTGCGAAGTGATATATAAATGGATACATTAAATCACACCGATATTTTACGTACTATTGCACCATTCTTTACACCGATGTTTTACAAACTAATAATTTTTATAATTGTATGCTTATGTCTAATTTTATTAAAATTCAAAAAAAAAATACTTAAAGTATTCATATTTCAATATATATATATATATATATATATTATATGAAAATATATATATATATATATTATATCAATATATATATATATATATATATAAATGAAATATAAAATCATTTTAGATTAATATATAATTTTGTATACTTAAAATAAGAGTATTTAATTTAAAGTTATTATAAAGTAATAATTGATAAAAGTTACATTAGTATTATTTCTTATTTTTCTCATATTTATAATAATATATAAAAATGATATAAATTTTTAGTGTATAAATTTTTATAATATTTTTATCCCAATAACTATCTTCAAATAATTACTCATGTCTTTCGTATTATAAACTACTCACTGTTTTGTAATTTCTTTTATTATTTTTCTTTTGAAGAAAGTGGGAAACAACCATAAAGAGTTGGAGAAGGAAGTGAAATTGGTTGAAACAACTTTTTTTATTTTTTATTTATATATATATATTAAATTAAGGAAGAACTAAATTATTCATTTAATAATTTTTTATTACATTATCCATAATTTTTCTCTTTCTTTTCCTCTCTTTCTTTTGTAAAAAACCTTAAATTAAACATTAATTGTAGCTTTCAACTCAACCCTTTCATTTTTTTAACAATAACGTTTATTGAATTGGATTGACATTATAAACTTGGAACCTACTTTGATATAAGCTAGAAGTATTTGAGAGCTTTTCTATATATAAAAAAAATGTTCTTTATTTTCAATAATAAAAAAAAAAACTCTTAGAAGTACTTGGCATAATTTAAATCAAAACAACAAATGACATCGAATAAAAAAATTTAACTATTTTAAATACCCCTTAACTCCACCGCTCATGAGAATTTGCGTGAGGCTGAAGATTATATGTTAGAATTTTCCTTCATTTTGATGACTGTTTTTTGTTCTCTCAGGTTAAAATATCAAGAGTGGGAGTGGAGACCACAAGGGTATATGCTAGACTTCAGGAGTTTATTGCTCCTCTAGAAATTTGGGCTGAAGACGTTTGAAGACTTGGGAGTTGAGAGCAAGCTATATGTATTGTGGTTTGACCACAAATTATTAGCTTGGTTTGAGTTTTATATATATATATATATATATATATATATTAGCTGTGTACCAAAAAATAATCCTAAGTGTGTGGTTCAGCGGTAGGAGTTGATCCACGTTCAAACAAAGTCGGCACTGGATACTTCAGGAATGAACCCCAAAAAAGCTGTGTACCAAAAAAAATTAATAATATTAGCTATTCTTAAAAGAAAAAGAAAAATATATCTCCGCTTCGTTTTGGAAAATTAAAATTAAAAAATAACGTATTATTCGTTTCGCATATTCATTGTAGACACTTTGTAGAAATACCCTACTGTTGGGTTTTCGGCTATGCCGTCAAGAAAAAGACATCTCAAAGCGAATAATTAATTAGTTCTTTTGAGAATAATAATTATTTAGTTAATAATCATACAGTTGAAAAGAACTTTTGCAATATTATATGCTTGAATTGATCGGGAAGAGCTATATGAGAATGAGCCTAGTAACAAGGGTAAGTAATAAAAGATAATAGAAGACAAGATATAAATAGATAATTTATTGGTCAGTTGTGAGTTAGAATTAGATAGTTTGTTAGTATTTTTTTTATTATTTGTTTTATTTTTAAAGTTTGTTATCTTTTCTTTTGTCTTTATATATTTGTGTTGAGAAACAAAAGGAGATCGAGTGTGTGAAGATGAATAGGTGCTGCGGGCAGAGAAAGTGAAGCAGAGAAAATATTATTGATTTGTTATATGACTGATACAGGATATATACAAGTTTATAAAGCAAATAATAAAACTAATAATAAAAGTTGTTATAACAGAAAACATCAAGTATCCTTTATATCCCCCCTTAAACTAAACTGGTATGTAGAAACAACATTTAGTTTGGATTTTAAGCTTTGAAAGATGGTTGTTGAAGGAGACTTGGTTAGAAGATTAGCCACTTGAAAGTTGAAACTGTGAAGGTATATGCTTGACTTTAATGAGACCTTGTGCTACTCTTTCTCTTACAAACCACAAATCAATTTCAAAATATTTTGACTTGGAATGAAGGACCGGGTTTGTAGTAAGGAGAACAACACCCAAGTTGTCACACCAAATTAATGGTGGTTTGGTGTGTTTTGCATGCAATTCTGTTAATAAGGATTGAATCCATGTAATTTCAGATAAATTAATGGTGGTTTGGTGTGTTTTGCATGCAATTCTGTTAATAAGGATTGAATCCATGTAATTTCAGATACTGTGGCAGCCATGCTCCTAAATTTTGCTTCTGTACTTGATCTGGAAACAGTGTTGCTTCTTAGCCATCTAGGATACTAGATTTTTTCCCAAATACACATAGTATCCTATTGTAGACCTCATGTCTGTTATGTCTGCTGCTCAATCGAAATCTGCGAACCCAGATATTGGCAGACTGGGTGATTTCTGAAAATGTAATCCTTTATCTTTTGTACCACTCAAGTATCGTAGCAATCTTTTTACACATCTCCAATGAAATTCCAGGGGTTTGTGCATAAACTACCACAATTTTTTTACAGAATAAGCTATGTTGGGTCGAGTTATAGTGGCATATTGAAGAGCTCCAAGAATGCTTCTGTATAGATCGGGATTATCAAAGTTCTCTGTTGAATCTGTTGGCATTCTGCAGCTAGGAGGAAGAGGTGTCTTTACTAGTTTGGAATCCTGCATATGAAGTTTAGTCAGCAGATTATTTATATATTGAGTTAGAAGCATACTTCCCTGTGTATCATAGTGAACCTGTAATTCGAGAAAATAATGTAACTTTCCCAAGTCTTTTAATGGGAACAGAGTATTCAATCTATTAATGAGATTCTGTATAAATGCTTGAGAGCTCCCTGTAATCAGAATGTCATCCACATAGACTAATATATATATTGTATGAACAACATTAACAAGAATAAAGAGAGAATTATCACATTTTGCTAGTTTAAAACCAAAAGTGATCAAAGTAGAAGCTAGCTTAGCAAACCAAGCTCTAGGAGCTTGTTTAAGGCCATATATATATGGCCTTATTAAGCTTACAGACAAGATTAGCATGTTGAATATTGAACCCCTCAGGTTGTTTCATATATATATATATATCCTTTTTTAATGAACCATTTAAGAAAAAATTATTGACATCAATTTGTCTTATTGGCCATCCCTTTGTGAGTGCAATAGAAAGAATTATTCTTATAGTTACGGGTTTGATAACCGGACTAAACGTTTCTGTATAATCTAGACCTTCTTGTTGACTAAAACCCCTAACCACAAGTCTAGCTTTGTGTTTAGATATATTGTTCCATCAGGTTTGTATTTTAATTTGAATATCCACTTTGATCCTATTGCTTTCCTATGTGGTGGTAGAGGGACTAACTTCTATGTCTGATTCCTAGTTAGAGCTAGGTATTCTTCTTTCATAGTATTGAACCATTTCGAATCTTGTAAAGCTAAAGTAACAGTACTAGGTTTTGTTTCAGCAATGAGGACTCTAGGTTTGAATATACCATACTTGGACCTAGTTATCATATTATGCGTGTTTTTAGTTATATGATGATCTATACTATGAGATATGTTATGATGAGAAGTAGGACCGCTTGCTACCTGATTGTTATTAGTATTTTCAAGTATGAGATTTTGATTTTCATTCGTAACAATTGTGTCATTACCATGATGTGGAACACTATGTATAATAGGTATAGTTGGGTAAGAGGTATATTCATATGGTTAAGAGTAGCATGTGTCTCTTTGAAAAAGTTGTTTTCTTTCACAAGAAATGTTTTTTCATCAAACACCACATGTCTAGAGACATAAATCTTTCCAGATGATGTCATACACTTATAACCCTTATGAATTGTACTATACCCTAAAAAGATACACAATTGAGATTTTGGACCATTTTTATCCTGTTGTAAGGTCTTAAATGAGGGAAACAAACACAACCAAATGGCTTAAAGAGAGTATAATCAGGAGGTTTATGAAACAACATTTCAAAAGGGGATTTCCATTGTATTATGGATGAAGGTATTCTATTTATGACAAAAAGTGCTGCAACAAAGGCCCCAGTCCAACATGAAAAAAACAAACCAGAATCAGTTAATAATGTGAGCCCAGTTTCAGTCAAGTGCCTGTGTTTTCTCTCAGCAGAGCCATTTTGTTCATGAGTGTATGCACAACTAAATCTATGTTGAATACCATTTTGCTTGAGGAATTTAGAAAAAGCAATGTACTCTTTGCCTTCGTCAGTTTGTAAGGTTTTTATTTTTTTGTTTAACTGAAGTTAAACCATATCCTTGAATTGAATAAAATAATTTAGAGCTTCAGATTTAGTATGCAAGAAATAAAGCCATGTAAACCTCGAAAAAGCATCTACAAAAATTATATAGTACCTGAATCCATCTCTACTTGGTGTAGGTGAAGGGCCCCAGATATTAGAAATGGAAAAAGGTAATTTATGAGCTTTACCAATATAGCAAGATGAGCAAACAAATGACATTTTATTCTCAGCAACAACAATATTACAAGATTCCATTACACGTTTCAGTACTTTAAAAGAACAATGTGCTAGCCTAGAGTGCCATATTGGCACATCATTACAAGATACAATATTATAGAGAGTAGTGACAACGCCCAATGGTTGTACAAATTCTGTGTGTGTGTGGATGGGCCGAAGATTATCAAAGACATATAATTCATCTTTAAGATGCCCTTTGAGAAGCACCATCTTTGTTTCCTGAGATTTTACACTACATTCAGTAGGATGAAATTCTACAAATACTTTGTTATCATTAGTGAATTTAGATATACTGAGCAAATTTTTTGATATGTTAGGAATATACATGATGTTGGGCAATGAGAAAGTAATATTTGATTGAGCAGTATGCATTTTAGAATGTCCTATATGAGATATTAAAAGGCTATTACCATCACCTACAAGAACACGTTGCTTACCTTGGTACTCCTGCTTTGTACTCAGGTAGGAAATGTCATTTGTGAGGTGATTGGATGCTCCTGAATCCGGGTACCACATGTCATCTGCTTGAGCATGAAGAGAAGAGGCCAACATAGCTTCTTGTTGACTCTCTACAGTGTTGTGATTCGTGGTTGTGTTCTATTGCGTGGCTGGATCAGAAAGATTCTCATCAAATCTTCTCCAGCAGTGAAAAGCAGAATGTCCATTCTTGCTGCACAATTGGCACTAAATCTTGGGATCTCGTGCTCCATAGTTGAACCCTTGTTTTGCAAAACAAACCCTTCCTAGATTTTGTCTGCAACCAAAACCTCTTCCTCTGGTAGAGTTTGATCCTCCCCCTTTTTGGCATTCCGAGGTTTTGAGCAAGATTTTCCTGAATCGTTTCAAATTCTTTCTGTTTGCGACAATCAAGCCTCTCTTCTTGATGAAGCAAGAGAGCTTCGATCTCAAGAACCGTATAAGGTTCGCTCCTCGTTAGACACGAGGTTTCAAGAGGGTCATATTCCTCCGGTAATCCATCAAAATTAAAATTGATGTGTTCTTCCAAAGACACCGGAGAGCCAATCACTGTCAATGTTTCCGTCAATTTCTTTATCTGCAGCAAATACTAATTCATCGATCTCGTTTTACAAACATTGCGAAGTTGAATCTTGATCTGTTTGACCATTGCCTTCGTTTGGGAAGCAAAATACATTTTCAGTACGCTCCAAATTCGGTGGCACCAGGTGCATCCTGCTACTCGAATCTTGAATGAGGACTCCATGGATTCTAACATCCATGATTTGAGGAGAGAATCTTGTTGTTCGAAGTTCTCAAAGAAAGGATTAACCCTATTTTTGGTTTGATCTTCCTTCGATAGGAATTCATGAGGGATTGCATCTGCATTGATGATGTGTTGCTTCAATTTGTGGCCCTTAATCGTTGATTCAACATGTTCAAACCATATAAGCGTCGCTCAATTTGGTGGAGATGGAAGATGAAAACATGTGGGGAAGAAAGGGTTTCGATGCGGAAGCTCCTGCCATAACCCTAGGGTTCGAGAGGCTATACTGATACCATGTTGAGAAATAAAAAGAGATTGAGTGTGTGAAGATGAACAGGTGTTGCAGGCAGAGAAAGTGAAGCAGAGAAAATATTATTGATTTGTTATATGACTGATACAGGATATATACAAGTTTATAAAGCAAATAATAAAAGTTGTTATAACAGAAAACATCAAGTATCCTTTATAATTTGGAAGACACACTATAGCTTTCTTTAAACACGTATATTTTATATAGCTTGCATGAAGGGAATAATGTGACAAATCATCTAGAATCCATTTTTCTTGAGACATCTCAACAGGTGAAA